TCCTTTTAATCTGTTCAAACCTCAAACTCATCCCCACCGAGTGTGAACTGACGCACAGCCAACCTGCTAGCAGCTTTTCAGAGACTATAAATCACAAAGGAGGAGGCTGCCCATCCTTCTCCCTCAGAGGCCCTGGTGGATTCAAACTCCCTACCTTTGGGTTGGCAGCACAGCTCCTCACCTGTTAGGCCCCCCGAGTCCCCACGTCTTCCAAGTGGTTTAAATCATGGAAATGGGTAGATTAATTGATCCAGCCAACTGAGTTTTTATGTCTGACCAGACCCTGTTTGACTAGCATGCTTGATGGAAAATGGCTCCAGACGGACTCTTCACCCCAAGTGCCCCGCCTCCCGTCCCCACTGCCCAGGACGAGAGTCCCCTCTGTTGGCTCGCTGACTAATGCTCCCAGTGTGACAGGCCAGTCCCTCTCCCCACCCCCTGAGGGACAGCTGAGTTTGCAGGTGGTCCCATTTGTGCACTGTGGTGTAGACTCTGTGCTTGACCCACATCCGGCCTTTGAGTCAGATTTTATTTGACCAGTATGACCGGCATCTGGAGGCCACTAGAAGGGCCAGCCTCCCCAGCCCAGTAGACTGGGTGTGTCCACTGTCCATGACTTCTCCCCAGGTCCTGTCCACCTCCACAGTGGCTGCCTGACCTGGGCCAGAGATGACCCCAGAGAGAGAAAAGCAGTCTAGAACTGACCGTGCGGCTCTTGAGGGAAATGTTCAAACAGATGTCGATGTGGGTGACATCATTGTCTGTCATTTCTGAAAACCTCTTACTATCTGTCCCCAGGCACCCACAGCATAGGGGGCTGGCTCTTCTGCCACGGAGGCAGACATCAGTGGTGGAAACTCTTTCCAGTCAGCAAAACTCCCTGGAAACAGCTACAGACATGCCCTTCCAGTCCTCAGATGTCTCACAGGGGCTGTGCAACCCAGGAAGCCATTAGTTTCCACGGGAGTTAACAAGGAGCCCAGATGAAGAGCCCTGCCCTGTGGATGGAGCGCCCTGCCCCTTGGGCAGAGAGCCCTGTCCGTGGATGGAGCACCCTGCCCCATGGACAGAGAGCTCTGTCTGTGGATGGAGTGCCCTGGTCATGGACAGAGCGCCTTGACCCCGTGAACAGAGCACCCCCCGCCCCTGCCTGGTGGATGGAGCGCCCCTGCCCATGGACAGAGTGCCTTCACCCCGGTGAGGTTTCCTGTCCTACCAGAGAAGCCACATCCTGGGTTTTGGCGTGCTAAGACCTTTTTTAAAAACTCTCCTGTTCATTTTATTATCAGAACACAAATAATAAATGTTGCTTGTCTAGAACTGTAAGGATAGAAAAGTCTTTGAAAAGATTCTTCATACTTGGGGTGATGGAAAAGAACTTGGCTTTGGCATGTCCATCTGTCCACTGATGTGCAGAGAGATGAATATCTGAGCACACTGTGTACATGACAAGGACAGTGATCGTGTGTGTGTGTGTGTGTGAGAGAGAGAGAGAGAGAGAGAGGTGTAATAAGGGCTTGAAGCCAAGAGAATTTCCACGAAAATGGAATGTTGTTGTTGTTGTTGTTTGATGCCATTGAGTCGTAGACGACTCATAGCAACCCTATAAACAAACGGCCTGAGCACTGTTCGTACATAGAGTTTCCGGAGGCAAGCCATTACAGAAGTGGATGCCGCTCCTGCTTCCAGGCTTGATTTAGTCGGGAAGCTCCAGCCAACACGGTGCACCCTGGGTACCCGTTACCACGACTGGCACATCACAAAAATGGAATACATTCTCTTTTTTGGAGGGGAAAAAAGGCCATTGCTGTCCTGTGCCGAAGTGGCTTCCGGGACAGAGTGGAACGGCCTGCCGAGCTGCCCAAGCCTGGACATCTTGCCGGAAGCAGGCTGCCCATCCTCCCCCCTCGGAACAGCTGGCAGATTCCAACAGCCCAGCTGTCAGTTAGCAGGCAAGCTCTTTAACCACTGCGCCACCAGGCCTCCTTCCCTTGGTTCAGATGAGACGTAAAAGGGTGTTCCTTCAGACTGCATGGAAGCAGAGCATCTCCACCCACCTCGGGTTCTGTCTTTATCTAGAACAGGGAACAGAGTTTGGTCTCACTGCTCATCACCTGGAACCAGATTAAGAATCAGGAGGAAAGTTGTTTTGGTGGCTAAGACCCAAAGCCTCTCTTTTTTTGCCTCAAAAAATAAGGAACATCCTTGGAATTATGTAAAATCCACTGGGGGAAAAAAAATCACACACATACCCATCCATTCTCTCCCCTCAGTCTTCCCCACAAGCGATAAAGGGGCATTCCCATGTACACGCACATAACACACTTCTCCGGGGACACACGCACCCGTGTCTTTGTCCGTGCCACTGGAGAGAAAAAAAAAAGTCTATACTTCTTGGAACTGTGACTTAAAATACTATCCTTTTAAAATAGCAGCCTCAAATCACTACCTCCAGAAACAGCCGTGAAGAATCAGCAAAGCAAGCAGACACCACGGGGAAGGGAGAGCTACAGACTGACTCTTGGGCACCATCCCCGGCCTCCTGCGGCGGCCCCTCTCTCACAGGCAAGCCTTGCTGATGCCCACGATTCCCAGTCTAATTCCGTCTCCTCTTTCCGTTACACTGCTCATTTATGCCCCCGTCACTCAGTGAACCAGCTAGGGAGAGGTTAGTGAAAATGCAACTTTATTCACAGAGGCTAAGGGTTACAGGGACACAGAGGACCCCCTGCCCACCCTGCTGCCAGGCCGTCCTGGTGAGCGCAGATCTCAACAGGGAGGCCCCTCAAAAGCCTTACAGTCAAGGACCCTCTGCAGCACCCCCTCCCCGAGCATCCTGATGGCCTGGAAGACCCCGGTGGTGGGGGTGTGTCTGGGTCATGATTCAGTGGGATTTGAGAAGAGGGTCCAGAAAGTCAATTCTAGGCCTACTGCTCATTAAAGGAGCATTCTGGCGGCACAATGGGGAGAAACTGCCCTGCCAACCCAAAGGTACACGGTTTGAATCCAGCAGCCGCTAGGTGGGAGAAGGATGAGCGATCTCTTCCTGTGCAGTTTACAGCCTCTGAAGTCTGCGGAAGGATCAGTTGTGAGTGGATTCTGACAACCATTCATTCTATCATCCCATCCTCCTGAAACATCCTTTCACACACAACCCAAACAAAAGCAGCTGTGGTCAGTCAGATGGACTCTGGCCGAGATGACCAGGGTGTGAGTGAGAGGAGAGCTGCCAACCCCCGCACCCCTGGGAGCCCAAGGCCGTGAACTTGGAAGCAGGACCACCAGGCCTATCTTCTGCTGTGCCTGTAGGTGGCTTCCAACCTCTGACCAACAGACTGCTAACCACAAGACCTCTGGATTCCATGGTATACACGCCTCCAAAAAGATTCTCCAAGTTATTAGGAGATTCTTCCCAGTAATTCATGCCTTTTTTTTTTAACTAATCCACATCAGATAAAACTTACTCAGCCTTTGGTAAGTCAAATCTCACAGCATTTCCCCAACACACACAAACACACACACACACACACACACACACACACACACACAGTCACTGTAAGACACTGGATGCTTCAGCCTAGAAAGTCTCAGGCTGAAGAGGCTGCGGAGTCTCAGTGTTCCCAGGTCCTTCCTGCGCAGCTGGCCAGCCCCTCCCACCTCCCTGACCTCAGGAGTCACCTGGTCAAAGTGATTATTTAACTGGAGCTGAAGCCTGGCCAGGGGGCCTGGAGGAAGGGGGCAGGGAGGGCAGGCCAGGACGTCTGGAGGAACCAACTTCATCAAGGCTCCCTTTTGGGGTCCAGATCCTTCAGACATGGCACATCCCTCCATCTGCTTTAAAGTTGGTTTCCGCTGACTTGTTTGGTTAAAAATAGAACTCCGGTCCTATAATGTAAACCAAGCTTGACCCATGAAAACTGAAGGAGACTATAATCTGATGTTGTATGTGGGGGCATCTTCCCTCTCCCTGCAGCCCCCTCGGGCCTCTCTGGAAACCGTTTGACCCCTTAACAACAAAAAGGGGCTCCTCTGATGGCTTAATGGTGAGGAGCTGAGCTGTGACCCCAAAGATCGGAGGTTCGAAGCTAACTGCTTGAGGGAGAATGATGAGCAATCTCCTCTGTGCATTTTACAGCCTTTGGAAACCCACCGAGGGTCAGCTGGGTCAGTTCCAACTCACACCCACCAAGCCGCAGGGAAGCACTGGGGCCGCTGCCATTAGCGATTACAGTCACAGCTTGGTGGTCCAAAGCGGGGTCCTCTGCACAAGGGAACCCAGAGGCTTCGGGGAGCAGTCCTCATTATAAGTCAGGGACCAAGCAGAGGAAGCTCGTGCACAGGTGAGAGAGAGAGAGGGAGGGAGGGAGGGAGGGAGGGAGGGAGAGAGACAGAGACAGAGACAGACAGACACAGACAGACAGAGAGAGAGAGAGAGACAGAGACAGTGACTGTCTAGACGTGGGGTCAACGGTGTGGCTAATCCCAATCTTCTCACCGTCCTCTTTGACTCTACTTGGGCAGAAGGTTACAAGGAGAATCTGAAAAGCAGGGACAGTCCTGTGTCCCCAAGACCTGAAACCGGAGAAAAAACCCAGGCACCGAGCAGACCGGGTTGGTGGGAGACCAGCCTGGTCCACACACCAGCACCCCGCTGGCGACAGCGGTTAGACTATGGAGCGACCTCGTTGCTGTCAGTCCCTGCCTCAGGTTGTCGAGGTGTTCCGGTCCCCAGGAGGCACAGGACGTGGGCGGCTGGCGGAAGGAGACGGCCTGAGAGGGACCTGGGGCCCGGACAATGCACGCTGGAGAGAAGGAAAGCTGGGTCCCGGCGGAGGTCGGTCTGTCGCTCCTCTGCGAGTCGGCTGAAAAAGGTCCGCTGGAGAGGCGCAACCAAGCCCCAGAACCTCCTGTCAGCGGAGGAAGAGACAATTCGTGAAGGATCCTAGCTGTTTCCCCCACAGGGCTGGGGGCGAGCAAGGGGGTCCGCATCCCTGCGGGCTTCACGGGAAGTGAAACAATGCGTCCGAGGGCTGCAGGGGGACATAGGAGAGAAAGGGGATCCCGAGCTGGTAGAAGCCACCCTGCACGTGCGGGTCGAGCATCAGCGAGGCGCTGAAGGGCGGGCAGAGGCCCGGGGAGCTGGTGAGCAGCGAGGCGGCTGCCCCTCCGCCTGGGCCCGACTTGGAAGCCCCCGGAAGCTCGTCCCCCGCAGCGGGCTCGGGGCTTGGCCTCCCCGCCAGGATGCTGTCTATGCTGAAGCTCTTGGCCTTGACGGCGCCTTTCGGAGAGCTGCGGGAGACGGGGCGCGCCGGACACGCGGGGCTCTCCGCTGTGCGCCCTGGCTGGCCCCCGACCACGGCCGCTGCGCCCTGGACAACATCGCGGGCATCCTCGTCTGAGGACCCGGTCCTGGGCCAGGGAAGAGGCGGCGGCAGAGCCGGCCGGCCTGGGGCTGGTGAACGCCGCCCGGGTGGCCCTTTCCCGGGGTTGGGGGTGGCAGGGCCGGGGCGTGCTCCCCGGGTCGCTGGCTCCGGCTGTGACTCAGCGCGGGCCCTCTTGGTCTCAGGCGCGGCGGGGCCCGGCTTGGGCTTCCTCTTGCGGCGCCGGTAGTTGCCGTTTTCGAACATGTCCAGGCAGCGAGGGTCCAGCGTCCAGTAGCTGCCCTTGCCTGGCCGGCCTTTCTCGCGCGGCACCTTGACGAAGCAGTCGTTGAGCGAGAGGTTGTGGCGGATGCTGTTCTGCCAGCCCTGCCGGTTGTCGTGATAGAAGGGGAAGCGGTCCATGATGAACTGGTAGATACCGTTGAGCGTGACCCGCTGCTCCGGCGCGTCCTGGATGGCCATGGCAATGAGCGCGATGTAGCTGTAGGGCGGCTTCTGCGGGGGCTCGGCACGGCCCGACGTGGTCAGCGCGGCCGCAGGGGCGAAGGCCAGGGGCAGCCCAGGCCGCTCGGGGCCGTACAGGTAGAGCAGGGGCGAGGCGGCCAGCGCCGGCAGGCGAGGGCAGAAGACGTGGCTCATGGCGCACGGAGCCGGCGCGGCGCTCCCCGCGCTCAGGGACGGCGGCCCGCGCCACCAGGGCCCTCCCGGGGAGCCCGAGCCGCCTGCTGCTCCGCGCTCCCCTGCCGCGCCGCGCTCTGGCCCTCCTTCATGGCCTTAGAAATGTTAAATAATTGTTGTAAGTTTGCTATTATATGTTGACTTAGCGCTGGAAAATAAATTGTCTATGATAAACAGTCGCTGTGTTCCCAGCCCACCCACATTAATTAAAATTTCATTGCTGAAAAACTGCAAGCTTCTCCCTCCACGTGTCTTTTTGATACCAGCCAATCGGTTTCGGGGCTATTCCTTCATTTGTTTATAGAATTAGTCTGTTGATAAGTCCGCCCACCCAAGTTGAATCAAGCTGTGTTTATTTGGAAAAATTTCCGGGCACCCAATATATAAACGCACGGATCTGATGTTTGAAATATCACGTCCCCTCGACGCTGTAAGCACACGTAGCAAGGAGGCAGAGTGTACACGGAGGCGGCTCGCAGGGATCCGCAGGCCGGGGTGGCTGAGGTGGGGAGGCTGAGGGGGCCAGGGCGAGCCAGCCTCCTCCAAAAGCACTTTTTCTTCTAGAGGCTTAGTAAGTGACCGGGAGATAGTAACGTGCCTCCCAGAGAGGAGACCCTCTCAAGTTTTCAGAGGTCTTGGGATTTGGGGTGGGGAGGGAGGAGGGTTTCCACACAGAATGGGGTGTCTGATAGGCACCAGACATCATCTAGAAGCATTTACTAAGAGCCTAGTATCCCCACGTGTCCCCAGCCCATCCCACGCTGGGGCGTGTGCCCAGTGGAGGAGACTGAGGAGGTGGCAGGGGTACAGATTACCGGGGCTGAGCTCTGCTTGCCAAGGTTTGCAAAGGGACCCCGTTAGGACAGATGGGTGGTAGGGTGGGGACAAAGGTCCTACTGGCTGAGGCTTCAAGCAAGGAGCTCCATAAAAGGGGAAGGCCGAAGCTGGGCGGGAGGGCTGGTATTTGTGAATGCGGGCCTGTTGCTTTATGTCCTGAGCTTTCCTGTTTATAACAAGGAGGGGTTGTAACAACTTTACAAGTGCGCGCAGCTGGCCCGTGATTACACTGAGCATTTGGGAAGCAGGCTCCCCTGCCCCCCCACGCCCCCACCTTGGGGTGTAGCAGGCACCCTGCCCTCTCACTTTGCAACTGGCCACGTCGGAGTTGGAAACAAAACCTCTGGAGGATGAGGATGCTGATTGGGACGGAGGGGTCTTTTACTCCCCCTGCGCTATGGGATGTGGGGGCGGGCGTGTAGCGTTGACTCTGTCCTGTTTATGAACCTTATGGATGTTTTCAAGAGGAAAAAAATATAAAAAGCACGTAGGGTAACGGAATCCAAGTGTCCCTGGGTAAATCCGGAAGACTGGCCAAGGAGGTGGGCAGTCTGGGTGAGGACCAGGTGAAGAGGCTGCGGTAGGGCACAGTGAGGATCCTCTACCACCAACCAGAAGAGGCGACACCAGGTCTGGGATGGCGGTAAGGCTCAGGGTGACCTTGAACACGGGGAAGCAGGTAGAGCCCCACTGCATAATGAGACCAGCAGGCACCACATGGGACACGCGGCCAGTAGGACAAACGGGACCAGTAAGTTGGAAATGCCAGGAAAGGAAGTCACCATCGTGTCAGGAACACGGTTGGGTGCAGACACCGTGTACGGCAGCGCCAGGTGGTCCCGGACACTTGAGGCTGTGCCACTCTTCCAAGCCAGCAGAGGACTGGCCAGGATGGGTGTCATCCTCGCTCTCAGGGTAGAGAACCAGAATGGCCCCCATCTGGGAAACTCACAGTGTCCCTCCAGCGCGTCGCTCCCCAAGTTCACGTTGAAGGGGTGCCACTATGCACCACCCCACCCCGCAGCCCCCTTGGGATCGTACTGGGCACCTTTAGCCCAGGGCACACAACCCAGCCTCCCCATACGTGCGCTGTCCAGGCAAAGTCTCCTTAACTCTAAAGCACATTGGAGCCTCACTTGCTGTATTAACAACAGTGCGGGATCGAGCCGAGGGCGGGACGCAGGCGGGGCCCCGCGCGGTTCAGGAGGAGTGGGCGGGGCGCGGGCGCCAAAGGAAGGGAAACCCCGCGTCTGCTCGCGGCTTGGAGCCGCGCACGGGACCCTGTGCCTTTGTGGACATTTTCTACCACTCAGGGGGTAGTATTCAGCCTCAGGACTCCCGGCGTCCCCGTTGGGCTCTAAGCCAGGTTGGGGGGGGGGTGGGAAGGAGCGTGTAACTTGAGCCGATGATGAGCGGCGGCACGCTGGGCCGGTTTTCCGGGGAGCGCAGGGCACAGCCCTTAGCGTCTGAGCGCTGATGCGCCCTCGTGCGGAGCTCAGTTGGGAGTGGACGCCGGAGGCCCAGCGGAGGGCAGGAGAGCTTGGGAGACTGAGGGCCGAAGGACTGTCCCCGGAGAGGTAGATGAGGCCACCTTGGAAGCGCCCTGCGGGTTCGCGGGGAGGTGCGCCCACTCTGGAGAGGGCGGGTGGGAGCGCATCTCTGGCCTTTAGGGAGGCCTTGCGACTTCTCGCGACCCGGTACCAGTTCTGATGTCACCGCAGAACGCCCATTCAATGTTAGACTAGGACAGATAGATGTCCTGTCCCCAGTCCCCAGACAAGGAGAGCGGTGCTCTTAGGGACCTGGGGCAGATCCGAGGGACCAGAAAGCTAAGAGACCTGAAGGCCGGGAGGAGGGGAAGGAGCGCTTCCCCGCAAGCGCGAGAACTGCAAGGTCCAGCCATGGAGCGCTCGCGGGCATCCAGGCCCTTCAGTGCAAACACCTGCACTGCTTCTCCAGGTGTGAAGGCAGCTACGCTTCGGTGAGAGCTCGGGTGGGTACATCTCTACCAGGCGATTGTGCGGCCTCTGTGAGGCTGTGAACTCCGAGAAGCTGGCGCAGGACTTGGGCGGGTCACTCACTTACTGTCCACCAGAAACGCTCAAGACGATGACACTAACTGATAAAAACACGGATCATTCCCGAGAACTCAGGGCCAAGTCCTAGTTGACCTTCCAGCGGGTTTTCAGAGGCAGGACATCCCATGAGAGGCGTTTGCTCATCTTTGCTCCTTCGGAGAAGCTGGTGGATTCGAACCTCCTGCCTTCATTGTTAGAGGCTGCTGCGAACCATACAATTCACAGCGATCCTATGAACAACAGACCTGACCCCCGGCCTGGCCTGTGCCATCCTCACTGATGCTCCAGCCAGTGTCACCCCACCTGTCGACGGCCACCTCTCCAAGCATCATGTTCCTTCCTCTCCAAGGTGAACTGCTGTGTGTCAGCGCCCTTAAGTCATCCCGTCCTCCCGGCACTCATGACCAGGGAACACTTTGATCATTCTCATCCTTAAGTCCAGGAAACTGAGGTCCGTCCATAAAGTCAACTTGCCCAAGGCGGGGAGGGCACACACCACGGTGGGCCTACTCCAGAACCAGGAAAACCGGCCCAGTGAGGCAAAGGCACGAGTGGGCTCCTGGGGGCCTAGGATGTTCTCCCCATAACATAACCATCACAGCAAGGGAGGGGGTGTATGAATCCCCCCATTGCATAGATGAGGAAATTGAGACTCAGGCAGTCAACAGCTGGAGGTCAGAGGAGTGGACACAGCAGAGGACACAGGAGAGGAGGGGAACACATACTGTGGGCGCAAATCCTCCTAATGTTTACGTGGTCCAGGGACCTGGGCTGAGAGAGAAAGGAGAGACACAGAGACCAGAGACAGGTGCCCGGTGAGGACTAGAGGGGGCTGGGAGGCTACCAGGAGCACTGCAGTCCTTTGGAGCAGAGCGGCAAGATTTGAGGTGATTTATAAATACCGAGTCTCTCTCAGGATCCCATTTTAGACCAGCTGCCCCCCACCCCACCCCTTCCCCACTGACTGGAAAAGAGCAAAGGCAGAGGCTGCCACTTGGTGTTGGGGCAGCCTGACATTCTGCACTGGCAGCTGGTGGCATTTAAAGAAGCCTGGAGAGAGAGGCACAGCACCCCCAGACCAAATCACTGCCCTGTTTACAGCTCACCTTGTTCTCAGAAACAGTGAAGCCCCCTTTCCACTCCCAGGTCAGGGGCCTGCAGGCACGCACACACACGTGCTTATAGGGACCTGAGATTAAAGGTTTAGAACAATTCTCGCAACTACCACTGGAGAATCTCCAGGGTGGACAGCCTTTTGGCCACACCACTGGGTCCTTGTCCAGCTGGTACAGCAGCCGGAGGCATAGGTGACACACGGGAGGTCCACGGGACCAGCCTTGGGCTGCCATAAAAGTAACTACAGGTCGAGTAGAAGCCGGGGCTTGGGGACAGCCAGGGCAGTGGCTTCCAAAGGGGCTTTCTGGCCTCCTGTCTCCCAGCATGGCCGGTGCCCACAGGGCCTCCCCAGTGCACAGCGGCCCTCCAGGGGACTGTAGGACAATGGCCCCATCCTCTCCAACCCCAGTCCTTTAAAGGGGTCACACCAGTCTGCTAGCCCCCTGCTAACCCATGCTCCTCTGTGTAAGTCTGTTTCTCACAGGCGGGCCCCAAGATTAGTGTCCAAATTGTCGTCACAAGCTGGACAGGGGGCAAACGGCAAGGGGTCTGAGAGGCAAATGGTGTGGGTCATGCCACCATTGCCTGCACTGGAGAGGGAAACTGAAGGCGGGCAAAGGCTTCCCTCTGAAAAGGCTGTCCCTCGCCGTGGCAGCTGGCCATAGTTGCCCCTGAAGCCCCTCACCCACTTCCATATACGCCTGTATCAAAAAGCAAACATTTCAAACTGCTTGGCAGGCCGAAGCCATGCAAGGGAGACTAGCAGGAAAGTTCCTGGAAGTTTGGGGGAAAGCATCTCAAGTATGTGGAGCAAGGGGTGGGGGCAGGGCCTGAGGGGAGGGCTCCAGGCTGGTGGAGCTGAAGGTTGGACCTAGCCCCCCCAGCCATCTGCATCTGGTCTGGTCCATCTGCACCTCAGAAGTGAAGGTTTACGTGTCCACAGTGTCCTGAGAGGCAACCCGAAGGTTTGGGAGGGGTGGAACCCGGGTCAAGGCACCCCAGTCACCAGGCACAGCCTGGGGGAGTCCCCTCCCCCCAGAAACCTGCTTCCACCACTAACACTGGGCACCCCCTCAGGTTGGCAGCAGTGACTGACACCCCTCCATTTAGGATTTGGAAGTGGGTATAGGGCATCTAGGGTCTGCTCTGTGTGTGAGGTACAGCTCACACCCTCTCCTAGCTAGTGTGGCAGGCGGGGACAGGGAGGACATGGCCCCTCAAAGATTTACGAGCTAAACGAGCTAAACGCTGCTGTTCCCAGGCCCCTGAGTGTCCCCCTCTGTCCAACTTCTGGTCTCTGAGAGGAGACCACGAGCCATAAAGGGTTTCCTCACTGTGTGGGATTGTGCAGAGAAGATGAGGCCAGGTGCAGGCCACGACCCGCTCACACAGCAGAGGGGACTCGCTCATTCCAGCACCAGGATTCCTGTCACCTGCGTCAGGTACCTGTGAGGACAGCCCGCTTGATCCACGAAGGCCCCAGCCCAGGACACGCTCCTCTGCCCCGCTTGCTGGAGGTGGGGGGCGGCATCTGGCTTTTCTAGAAGTTAGTGGCCCAGAGCTGAGACCCAGGCCGAACTCCCAGGCCGCACGTCAGCATCATCGCAGCATCTGTCGAGCTGAGCCCAGGCTGGAGTTGCAGTTCACCCACCAAACCCAGTGGGCACAGGGTTAAGGCTGGGAGAAAGTTACTCCCTTGGGCTGCAGAGGAAGTTGCTAGTGTTCACTGCACTCGGGCAACACTGCCTCATGTGAATCAGCTCTGCTCTGCAGGGGCCCTTTAGGCGTCATGCATGGCCTTGCACATAGCGTTGAGTGCGGGCTCCTTTCTGTTAGAGGCCCGGGCCTCACCAGCCCTCCGCTGTGTCGATCCAGGGCAGCTGAGCCACAGCAGACTCACAGGCCGCTGCCAGGACCCAGGGCCTCCGGGCGGGTGCGCTGACGCCGCCGCTGGGAGCCTGGTGCGGTGGGTCTTCCCACGCTGCCCGCCGGCCCACGGGGAGCCTGGCCAGACTTCCGGGCCACAGAGCTCCAGGCCCGAGATTTGCACGTCTCGCTGCCCCAGCTCGCTCCAGCACCCCGCACTACTGGGCCGCTGACCCACTTGCACCCATTCTGGGCCTCCGCCTGGCTGAGGACATATTGGGGAGCTCTGAGGCACATTCCCAAGTGACTGGACTTAACGCTTACCAGGGGACTAACTCTGCACTCCCAGCCTCAGCTGCAAAAACGCCCCTCAAAGTGCTTACGTTCCAGGAGAATGGAAAGGCCCCCTTGGCAAGGGACCACCCCAAGTTGACCAGGCCCAAGAAGAGCAGGAGTTTTCCGGGTGGTAACCGAGACTCCCACAGCTGTGCTTCTCCAAACCCAGGTCCAGCCATTAGCGTCTCCACATGCCCCTGTGCCCCTGAGGCCTCCTCATCGCTAAAGAGCCCCCCCCCCGCCCCCGTGCATGTCGGAGAATCCTACTTAGAAAGAGGGTAAGCTTCCAGGAAGCCATCTCTGGACCTTCTGGGACTGGAGGAAGCGGCTTGTTGGAATGTAGAATAATACACTGGTCTCCCCAGGGCAAAGCTTAAAGACAGCGAGGAACACAATTAAATGGAGGGTGGGTGACCAGTTCAAGGCCACCTGCGCCCACAGCCCGCTCTCCTTCCAGAGCCCCTGTCCTCTTCTAACCGGGAACATTCTGCTGAAGGCCGCCCCAACTCCCATCCAGAGAGAGACTTAAGCCCCAGGCCTGACCACTTAGCATGTTGAAAGAAGCTGAGATTTCACATATTGGGGTGAGGGGGAGACACCTCGAACTTTCTCCCAGGTCTCTTTCAGCAAGAAATGCCACCCTGAAAACACGGGAGATGACAGCCGCCCACTCAGGCAGCGGGCAGTGCCTGAACCCCCAGCAAAGCCATCTGAGCGCTGCCCACCGAGACAACGTCAAGTGTATGTGGGGGGACTAACTTCTCCTTGGGGTCCGGAGCCAGCGGGCAGCCCTGGGGCTCCAGCGCTCACCCAGGGAAGACAAGGCCCTTTCACCAGCCACACTTCCCCAAGGCCGGGCTACAGCTCAATTCGATTAAAACACAAGGAAGTGCAATTGAAAGGGCCCTAGGCCCCGGCCTTGGGAAGCAGAGCCATTCGCAGGGTTAGAAGCCCCTTAACTTGTTTCTGAAAGACAGAATCTGGGGTTTTGTTTTGGACTGGGGAGGGCATAAGAGTGGACACTAAATCCTGGGATCCGGACTGTGTTCTCCACGCTCTCCACAGAGAACCGGAGAACGTGGATGTGACTTCTCTCCACGCACTCCTGATGGACAGACCCAACTTCCCATTCTTTTTTGGAGATCTCGAGATGTGGGTGAGGGGACACCCCTTGGAGTGTGGTCTGCAGCCGGGAGAATGTTTATCCTGCCCCCACATTGCGGATAGGCTGGAGAGGGTTCAGGGAGCTGACAGACAAAATGTGGAACTCCGTTCTGCCCCGGCCTGCAGCCCGCTCCCCGCTCCCCGCAGCCACGGCCTGCACTCCCCGGCCAGGATGGCCTTGTTCCACTCATTACGAGCCTTCACCACACTGGACACCACTCTTCTCCAATCAAATGGACACTAGGCATACGTCCACCTGGACAAGAACAACCACCACCCAAACAGGTGGCCTGGCGAATACACCTCACGTTCTGAGGGTTTTGTTTTGGTTTCAATGTGAAAACACAAATACACTCTCTGTACTTTGGGCAGAAAAAAAAAAACTATGACGGATTTATTTGAAGGCAAGTACAACATGTCAGACCACGGAGGACAAACACAGGAGCCGTGAGAGGGAACGTTGCTTGTTTCTTTCGGGGCTGTTGAGGGGGGTGCTGGCTCACAAAGCCACCCCACTGAGGGAACTGAAAAAGGTCAGACACTTGACTTCTCTCTCCGCTGACAACAAAAAGAATAAATTATTTTCCTCGTGTCATAAAGGACCCACAGCTGGGAAGAGAATGGTAGTCCAGGGGAAAACAGAATAAAAGGGGAAACCTGCCTCGGCTTCTTTACTTGGAGTCGGCAGTGAAAAATGGAAAAGTATCCAGTGAACTCAACTTTAAATATTATATTAATGACTCTGAACAACAACAAGTAGCCCGATTACAAGTGCACACATTTGTACAGCGCGAGCAGAGAGATTTCAGAACGACACGGCGCAGCGGGACCTCAGGAGACCCGGGCTTCTGAGGTCTCTGCAGACAGTCGTCACCGATCACTACGGTTTGGTCCACAACTGAATTTTTGAAACCCAGCACAGACGTCCCGCTTGGCGCGGCAGGGGGAGGGGGTTTTAAAGATCAGCATTCGCCCCCTTTAGAGGCACTTGGTGGAATCTCTGAAACGCGGCGGCGGGGTGGGGTTACCTGCGGCGTCTCAGCGGCTGTCGCGCCGCTGGCTGCTCCCGGGTCTGGGAAAAGGGCGGACACGCGTTTGGTCCCTTTTGGCGCCGCGGCCGCCCGCTGTCTGGGAGGCGAGGCCAGGCCGGCGGGGGAGGCCCGGCCGGCGGGAGAGGCCTGGCCGTCAGTACTTGCTGCAGTCGTAGGAGTAGGGCGCTGCGTGGCGGTAGAGCGACGGCGTGGAGCGATAGGGGAGCTGACAGCTGGCGTTGCTGCTCGCCTGGTGTTCCCCAAGAGGAGAATTCTCAATGCCCAGCCGGTGGGAATTGAACATCTCCCGGACGTTGGGGAAAGTTTGCTGCTGCGCTGCGAACGTGTGGCCGGAGAGGTGGTTCAGGTCTGCGCTGTGGTTGAGATACCAGGAGGCCGCCTGCGCCCCGGGCTGCGGCGCCGACTGCGGCTGGGGCGCCGGCGGAGGCGGCGGCGCGGGCGGGTGGTGGTGGCCGTGATGCTGGTGGTGGTGGCCGGCGGCGGCGAGCGCGCCCTCCTGGCCACCGGCGAGGTTGAGGGCGCTCAGGGGCGACGTGGGGCCGCTCGGATGGTCCGACAGCGCCTCGTCCAGGGCGGGCGGGCCGCACACGTGCGCGGGCCGCTCGGCGCCGGTGTACAGGCTCATGGCGCGCACGCTGCATTGGTAGCCGCCGGCCGGCGCGCCCTCCAGGCCCTGTGCGCACGGCTGCCCGTAGGCGGCGGGCGGCGCGGCGGCGTAGGGCAGCGCGAGCGACGGCACCACCAGGCCCGCACGCCCGGCCGCAGGGCTCAGCTCGGCGCCCGGCGGCGTCGTTCGCAGCGTCATGATGTTCTCCACGCTGAAGCCCGGCAGCCCGTTGGGCGGCCCGGCGTGGTGCTCCGGCAGCGAGCCGTCGGGGGAGCCGGCGGGCGTGGAGGCGGCGCTGCGCGGGCTGGCCTGCATCGCACCCTCGGGGCTCAGCGTCTCCACCTTGGTGATGACCGGCAGCGCGGGCGACGCCGCCTCGCTCTTGATCACCACCTTCTTCTCGCTTTCCTTAGGGGCGTCCGCCAGGGGGGGCCCGGCCGGGGCGCCCTTGGCCACGGCCGGGGGCGGCTCCTTGAGGTGCGCGCGCTCCTCCTTGTCCCGGGGCACGTCCTTCTTCTTGAAGCGCCGGCGCCGGCGCAGGAAGCTGCCGTTCTCGAACATGTTGTAGGAGTCCGGGTCGAGCGTCCAGTAGCTGCCCTTGCCCGGCTTCTTGTCGTCGCGCGGCACCTTGACGAAGCACTCGTTGAGCGAGAGGTTGTGGCGGATGCTGTTCTGCCAGCCCTGCTTGTTGTCCCGGTAGAAGGGGAAGCGGTCCATGATGAACTGGTAGATACCGTTGAGCGTGACCTTCTTCTCGGGCGCGTTCTGGATGGCCATGGTGATGAGCGCGATGTAGCTGTAGGGCGGCTTCACCAGGTCCTTGGGCGCCGCGGGCTGGTGGTGGTGGTAGGGCGCGTACGAGCGGCCCATGCCCGCGCCGTACTGCTCCGCGGGGCCCGGGTAGACGCCCATGGGGCTGGCCACGCCACCGTAGGCGCCCGCCGCGCGGTAGTAGCCCTGCTCGCCCAGGTAGGGCACCCTGGCGAATACACCTCACGTTCTGAGGGTTTTG